AGATCATATAACACACACACACACACACACACACACACACACACACACACAATGCAGGCGCAGGCCCTGGTGAGGAGAACACCGTGTGAGTATTCCCTGAAGGCCACGGACCTCATTCAGTCACGGCGGCTGCAGCGTTGTTGACGTGTTGTGGCTTCAAAAAAAAAACTTGCATTTCTTAATTGGATGTTATTCAGTAACTGCTGCAGACTCCCAATTAAAGTGGATTTATTAGGATGGAGCTTCTTGTTAGAGAAGGAACATCCTGGGTCTCCAGACTGCCCGCCCCTGCCAAGCAGACATCTCAACCGCCGCTGAAAGGGGACGACACAGCGCAGAAAATACCACCACTTGGCAGACGCTGTTATTCAAACTGACCCCCGGCGTAGGAGAGAGGAGTCTCTGCAGTGAACACCACTGCCATTAAGTTCAGCGCCGGGCAGGCTGCCTTTTAAAACACACTCATGTCTCACAATGTAAACATAGCAGTGTTTAACCTACTGACCCACAGCCCATGGGTCCAGTGGTGCCACGGTCCTCTCTCCAATGTGCGGCGAGGCCGGCCACCCACTCCTCATGCTCAGCATTAGCTAGCAAACACTAGCCTCCGCTTATCAGCGTCAAAAAACCAAGCCCCGGGGCCAACTCTGAGAGAGATGGGGCCCCTGTGGTGGAGCCGCCTGTCCTGATATAGGTCGGTGTTTCACACGTTTTATCAAGGACAAACGTGTGCAGGCGCCCGCTCACACACATCAATACACCAAACCTCACACAGCCTTTAAAACACACAACTAACTTAAGGATAACACCCTGCTCCACCTGAGGGAGGCGGAGACACACACACACACTCACACACCTGCCTCGCTATCACCACAATTTCCTGCACACCAGCAGCGGCGTCTTCCACTCCCCGCGGATTACAGGGCGAAGTCACGTCACTCCACCGAGGTGAACGGGACACATGCACAGGAGATGGAGCTGGGCCTGGGGCTTATATTCCCTGTCACCTCTTGGAAAAGGGACACGACAGACCACACGAATGCAGGAGCTGACACACACACACACGCACACGCACACGCACACGCACACACACACACACACACACACACACACACACACACACACACACACTAACATCCTTGAGCCGACAGTTATAATGACATTCGGGCTTTTGTAGAGCACCCCCGAGTGTCTTCCTAGGGCACGAGGTATGCAAATGGAGGGTAATTTATTTTATTCACAGCGGAGCAGACCGGCTCTACAGCGATGTATGTTATAGGACAATATCCATTGTTAAATCCACAGTGAGTCCAAATATTCAAGACAGGGAGGCCATTGATCCGTTCAGCTGGGGAATATTAACTCCCAGTTTTCAGCTCCATTAACGGAGGAGATGGCAGCACATGGATATAACCTCTCAGTGGCCTCACAGGCTGTCGACTGCAGCCATGACATCATAACTGTGGGATACTGTGCAGTTTTCTTCAGATGCACTGAAATGACATGTTTCTGTCTGAACTGCAGAAAAGGTTGAAGAAACACAAAGACAAACTGTCCATTTCTTGGTGCACAGTGCTGGTGTTACGTCCGCTGCCGTGGGAGACGCAGGACGACTCGCACAACTTTTCTTTTTTTCCAAGGATGTACTAGAAAAGATCGCGGCCCGAAGGCAGACGATGTCTCTTAATGTGAGTGTAACTAATGGACTGCTTCCCTCCACTGCGCCCCTGACCTCTCTTAGTCCCTCACTCATCCCATCGCCACTGCAACCTCTCTCTCATCCTCATTCTTCTTCTTCTAACCTCTTTTCACTTTCTCCAACCACATCCTCTTAGTTTTTATGCCTCGGGGGGGGGACAGATGTACACACAACACAGTCACGCGCACTAGGGCGACAAGACGGGCTTTTGGCCGGAGTCGACGCTTTAAAAATACAAAACACAGAGGTCTAACTCCTGTCTGTGCGTCGTCAAACGACACGTGCACAAATATGCCAACAAACTAGGGTGGATTGTGTTTTCCATAGGGACCAACACCGACATAAATCTGACTAAATCCAGCAAACACACACACGGAGCAGTGATCACCACACTGCTTTCCAAGCACAGTTCCTGATGACCTATTTCCACACACACACACACACACACACACACACACACACACACACACACACACACACACACACACA